TAGACTAAAGACAAGAGACTTCTTCATTATGAAACTAGAATATAATGTCTCAAAAACAGATGGACTACTGCAAAGCGTAGTGGCAGTTTTATTAGCCAAACCCTTCTTTCTCATGCCACCCACTTTTTAACCACCCATTAATAAGACAAAACTCCATTTGCACTCCTGCAACTTGATCTCCACAGACTAAGTATGGTATTATGGATAAAGACCTCAGCACTGCTCAGAATAGAACAGAATTTGCTCGTGAACCCGTGAGTCAGGCGGTTGTTGCTTTTAGCTTCATGACCTCGGAGGAGGGAAAGTTACTCCAGAGCAAAAGACAATGAAAAACGATGCAGTCGCGTTGTTGTAAATGGCTTTTTTCACACATTAAAAGACCATTGGAGGGAATTTTGTTTAGTAAAGAGATCTATGGAGCATAATAAGTGGCCAGATTGGAGAGCAGGCTGCTGCAGAGTGGATGCCAGAGCCCATGACTTCTCTTTTCAAATTACTGCACAATGTATTTTGCAAAGTCATGTCTAGAACCTGGTTTAACACCACACAGAGGGTTAAACCAGAGAGATTAAAGCAAATGCAATGCGGTGTTTTTGGCCTGCACACCTTCATCATTACATTATCTAGTCATGCTGAACAGATCTAATTAATGAAATCAGCTGAAATTGGAGGATACAGCACAAACTCTTGTATGGTAGTAGCGTGTGGGAGGTTGGCTCAGCTCGACTAGCCGGACCAGTCCCTCCAGGGTGCCAGCAAAATCTCTAGTGGGCCGAGAAGCCCGCTTAAAATAAACACGAGCCCCTTTTCAACTGAAAAGTTATGAGGACCTCTTGCTCCTTTGGCAGACATATGCAGAAATCTCCACATAAACTTTGCAGCAAAGTTTTATCACCAACTGAGGTCGTGATCTAATTAGTTTATTTGGGTCTTTTGCACCCCAAGAGGATGCTGTGGACAGAATTTACAATGATCAATCAGCAGTAGGTCAGCCCTTTTGCTTCTCTTTTCCCCTGCTTACTTAATAAAATTGAGACAGATCTGAGTCACGAATTAATAATAATAATTTATCATCCTGTCTACAACAGGACCATTAAAGGAAGCAGAAAACTGCAGAGCCCAGCCAGTTAAGATGTAGAGGAGAAACAATATTCTTTTCTTTATGAAAAGTTTTCGGTCTCTCTTGATGACTTTGTTCCCGTTTATGAATTAAAGCGCCTTGAAAACTATTCATAACCCTTGAAATTTGACACATTTTGACCTTATAACCACAAACTTAAATGTTTTTTAGATCTTCTGTAACAGACCAATACAGAGCACCTCGTAATTCTGAAGTGGGATTAATCTGATACATGGTTTCCAAAAATGTACGCAAATAAAAATCTGAAAAGTGTGCTATGTAGGGTTGCAACAATACCCCTTTTTCCCAAACCGATACGATACAATCAGAGTACTCGCCAATACCGATAATTCTACCACACAAAAAAATATGCAACGACTTGGAATACAGATGAAATTTTCTTCTCTGCTTTCAACAGGAAAAGACTGTGCGGTAGATAAAAAGTAAAATACATGAATAGAAATCATCACAAAACTAAAATATTAAGTGATCAGTAACGACAATTTACAGTGAAGCCACTTTCAAGCAACTGCATGGGTATCGGTTCCTGGTATCGGTTAACTTTTACCGATACTGGAATCGGTATCGGTGCATCCCTAGTGCTATGCATTTGTATTTTACGAGCTAACCCCATCCACGTTATCCCTAACCTGTCCAGGGAGTTCCTTGGTCTTCATGATGCTGTTTGTTCTCTAACAGACCACGGAGGACTTCACAGAACAGGCACATTTGTAAGGGATTGCATCACACACAGGTGAAACTTATCTAATTAGATCATTTCTGAAGGCAATTGATTGTGCTGGATTTTATTTAGGGACTTTTCAAATTTTTGCTAAAAATTTAGAAAATGCATTATTTTCATTCCATTTCACAATTATGCAAGAATTTGTAGGAATACACCAATGTGAAGATGTGAGCCGATATCAATATACAGGGAGTGCAGAATTATTAGGCAAGTTGTATTTTTGAGGAATAATTGTATTATTGAACAACAACCATGTTCTCAGTGAACCCAAAAAAACTCATTAATATCAAAGCTGAATGTTTTTGGAAGTAGATTTTAGTTTTCAGTTGTAGCTATTTTAGGGGGATATCTGTGTGTGCAGGTGACTATTACTGTGCATAATTATTAGGCAACTTAACAAAAAACAAATATATACCCATTTCATTTATTTATTTTTACCAGTGAAACCAATATAACATCTCCACATTCACAAATATACATTTCTGACATTCAAAAACAATACAAAAACAAATCAGCGACCATATAGCCACCTTTCTTTGCAAGGACACTCAAAAGCCTGCCATCCATGGATTCTGTCAGTGTTTTGATCTGTTCACCATCAACACTGTGTGCAGCAGCAACCACAGCCTCCCAGACACGGTTCAGAGAGGTGTACGGTTTTCCCTCCTTGTAAATCTCGCATGTGATGATGGACCACAGGTTCTCAATGGGGTTCAGATCAGGTGAACAAGGAGGCCATGTCATTAGTTTTTCTTCTTTTATACCCTTTCTTGCCAGCCACGCTGTGGAGTACTTGAACGTGTGTGATGGAGCATTGTCCTGCATGAAAATCATGTTTTTCTTGAAGGATGCAGACTTCTTCCTGTACCACTGCTTGAAGAAGGTGTCTTCCAGAAACTGGCAGTAGGACTGGGAGTTGAGCTTGACTCCATCCTCAACCCGAAAAGGCCCCACAACCTCATCGTTGATGACACCAGCCCAAACCAGTACTCCACCTCCACCTTGCTGGCGTCTGAGTTGGACTGGAGCTCTCTGCCCTTTACCAATCCAGCCACGGGCCCATCCTTCTGGCCCATCAAGACTCACTCTCATTTCATCAGTTCATAAAACCTTAGAAAAATCAGTCTTGAGATATTTCTTGGCCCAGTCTTGACGTTTCAGCTTGTGTGTCTTGTTCAGTGGTGGTCGTCTTTCAGCCTTTCTTACCTTGGCCGTGTCTCTGAGTATTGCACACCTTGTGCTTTTGGGCACTCCAGTGATGTTGCAGCTCTGAAATATGGCCAAACTGGTGGCAAGTGGCATCTTGGCAGCTGTACGCTTGACTTTTCTCAGTTCATGGGCAGTTATTTTGCACCTTGGTTTTGCCACACGCTACTTGCGACCCTGTTGACTATTTTGAATGAAACGCTTGATTGTTCGATGATCACGCTTCAGAAGCTTTGCAATTTTAAGACTGCTGCATCCCTCTGCAAGATATCTCACTATTTCTGACTTTTCTGAGCCTGTCAATTCCTTCTTTTGACCCATTTTGCCAAAGGAAAGGAAGTTGCCTAATATTTATGCACACCTGATATAGGGTGTTGATGTCATTAGACCACACCCCTTCTCATTACAGAGATGCACATCACCTAATATGCTTAATTGGTAGTAGGCTTTCGAGCCTACACAGCTTGGAGTAAGACAACATGCATGAAGAGGATGATGTGGACAAAATACTCATTTGCCTAATAATTCTGCACTCCCTGTATATCGCTGTTATACCTGATAACCAATGGAATGTAAGAAAATATCAATACACCGAAATATTGATTTCTTTGAGTAATGATACAAAGTTGATGTTTAAAAGGAGTTTTCAATTTTTTTTATTGAAAATTTACAAGCAAACGCTTACAGTTTTTTTTTGTGGTGCAATTCAAACCCTGACTGCTAGGTGGCAGCTGTGTTTACCACCTTCACTCTGAGCAACAAAATGTTGCGATAACACTTATCGCACTTGGAAGCATGTGGCCCGAGTTTTTCCATTAAGTTCAGTAAAAAAAAACGTCACAAATATTATTTGGTATTTAGTATTGCAAAATACTGCACCATCTCCCCTGTATAGATATACATCATATTGCCAGATTATTACCAATAAACACCCCAAATATAATAATTATATATAAATATATCACACCACACATATTTATGCTTCTGACATGATTACTATAACTGTCATGTGACAATTATGCATTATCACATGATCACACCTGACACATTTTTCTAATTCCCAGTAGCTGAGATTTTGAATTTGATCACAATCTGAAATTAAAATTAAACAATCCTGATAATGTTTGTTTTCCTAACTTTATTATCGCTACATAAGTACAAAAAAATCAGATAAATAAAACCATGCATTCGGTGTTTTGAAAGCGTTCCTGTCGGTTCATAAAACGGGATCAGAATTGGCTGCAGAACATTGTCCAACTCCATTTATGCATATTATCAACTACCTCCAGTTCCAGGTTACGATTAAAGCTGAGGAATGATGCAGTTGTTGTTTTGATCAGTCGGACACATCAACAGTCTGATATGTTCACTGTGGTTGACTATTTGAAGTATATTGCATTATAGCAATTTTCATTTTTGCTAGCCTAAATTAGTTGTAGCAGCCGCCTTAAATCACACTAACTGCACAAGTTAATCAGTTGTAAACTTATGTCCAATGATTATTTTGTGTTTAATTACAATTCACACCGTGGTTCATGATATTTTCCCAAGAGACAATAAACATCGCACAATGACACAAATCTAACAGGTAAACCCTGTTGAATTCCACACCACAGCTGAGAAATCAGATCCGAAATAAGTAACAGCCTTTATTTAAGTATGTGTAGGTGGTACTTGGGCACCTAAAGAGTTGTTTTAATAAACTGTGTTATTAGCAGCACCTGAGAGGATGTAACAGGTGGATTACTGGTTTATGGTGCACAAATAAAGGCATTATTAGTGTCAGACGAGCACAAATGTGATTTTTAAAAAAGCATCTTACATCTCAAGAAAGGATTTAAATGACTCAATGTGTCCATCTATTGGCTGTTAACGGGCCTGCCATGATGTCATCCTTTAACCAAGAAAACAACCAGACAATAAAACTAATTAGACTGCAAAACGTTTTATTCAAAAACATTCCAAAGAGAAATCTTTAGTTATATCTGGTTAACACACAAATAAGGAGATAAAGTTAAAGAACTTTACAGAAAGATGCATACACGCTAGCCAACTTTGATTTCTCTTGCACAAAAACAAACACTAAAAATGGAACTATGTCTCGATTCAACACTTTAAATTAAATCAGAGCCAGCTGGAGCAAACTCCATCAGATGTTAAAACACGGCCGTATGCGCCGAGGAGCCACACTCGCTCGTAAAAGGTGAGAAAATGTTCTCAATGAAAGCTACAGATCTCAGACCACCTCATTGAGGTTCCCCTTGATTGCTTCATAAGCTCCCTTTTAAAATGATCACAATTTCTCACCTTTTTCACTTTGATCACATTATCATGGTTTAGATTTTCAGATCTTCAAATGTGTGCACTTGGTTTCTGAATTTAGCTAGAAATTAAAGGCTGACTTACATCTTTTCCTATACCAGTGTAATACTCCATATGGTTCAGTCACTTACACAAAAGGAAAAAAAATCTATCCGACTTTGAAACAATATAAACATATTTTTACATGAAGAAACATTATTTTTTAAACATTTATGGATAAATGATCTGTTCTGTGCACCAGCATGATAAGCTTCCTCCCACAAATAAACGCAGACTGAGTGAAGATCATTTTAGCTTTTGAACAGAAGGCAATCGTCTTCTAATCCGCGGCTTAAATACAAGGTAAAAACCATTAAGTTCTTTCCAGACGCACTCAGAAACTTGGCCTGAAGCTTTTGTTTTCATACCATAGATGCAAGTTTTACATTCAACTTTCAAAAAAAGGATTTAACCATAAGCCAAGATGGTGCTGATTTTATTTCAGCCTGGCGCTTCATGTGAGGAGCCAGAGAGGGGCTCAGTTATAGTGACTCATGAGGCACGTCCGGGTCCAGAATAACAACTCTTATCTCTGCACCTTGGAGACGTTTTCCTGATCAGATGTCCTATGAGGAAGTGAATATTTAAGATAACTTTGTTTTGGGAAGTAAAATTAGCAGCTCACGGAAATGTCAATGTTCCGAGTTTGAACGTGGCGGATGGAGGTGAAAGACCGACAGGCTGAAATCAACATAGAGTACAACTAACAGTCGTTTCTTTCAGTTAAAACAGCGTTAATCACGCGAGCACAAACGGACGTCATAAAGCATCTATTAACGGGACAGTTCACTTACGTCTGGGAAGCCCAATACTCGGGTAAGGCTAGTGTATTTGTTGTATAATACATTCATAGGAACGAGACTGCGACTGTGCAGCGGTGCAGCAGTACACCGCATCAGCAAGACACAGGACATATAGTACTTGAAACAGTTTCACAATCAAGCGAAGAAAGGCACTGGAGTAATGTAACACTACATGAGGTTCTTGAGCTCTCCTGTATCCATCCTGGAAAAAGATACAAATCTAAAAATCTTCTTGTTTGGAGAACATTATACTTTTGAAAAATAAAATTTGACATATTTAGAAAAAATACTTTTTTTTGCACCTTTGATTCAATTTAGCAAGGAGAATATATTAAAAGTAAGTTATTAAATAAAAAAAGTACTGTTTATGGCATTTTATTCTAATAAGCGTCTTTTAGATTATAGCCACACGGGGGGACAAAAGGAAACTTGAAGAACATCAGATGGTTCTGTGCTGGGAAACAAATGGGGTGAAATGTTTCAAAGTCTGCTGGAAAAGCAGAAATGTGAGGATGAACTTAAAACAAAATAAATAAATGCTCTGTGTTTACTGATGTTACCAAAAGAAAAAAAATAATGGACGGCAGGAAGGAAGATAATCAAACCGTGACGATCACAGTGCTACTCATTTGGACAGGGATGACAGGACAGTGCTACGGACAGCGCCATCTTCTGGGAATTATAAAATAGCACTTATAAGTCACGGTCCTCGCTTGCTTTCTTTCACTTGAAAGGGGTCACTGACTCTCCAGTCTTCTGTACTTCACAACATGATTCAAATTCAACGCTCGCCATGAAAACGGCAGCTGATAGCTCCGGGGAACTGTGCCTCTCACGTTCTCTTCAAAAAACTGGAACAGTCTATACCACCAAACCCGTGAGAACGGGTTACTCTGCGAGGACTCCTTTAGCGACTGAAACACAACAACAAATACCAATCAGCAGTGTCAGAAAACATATTTACCAAAAGGTAGCTGAGTTTTTAGTTCTTCATTTGAAAATGTTTTACTACAGATCAACAAAACATTCAAATTCAGCCCAAAAACCCAGACAACCTAACAGTCTGAGTCACTGACATTATCATATCTGTACATGAAAGTGAGTGATTTTTTTTAATGATGGTTTGATTATTTTAACCGCAAAGAAAAGCAGTTGACACATGGAAATGCTCTTGAAAAACACAAATCTCTCGAGCAGCTTGCGTGGAGAGCAGAAGGCTGTTTAGAGAACTGTGCCGAGCAGAAAGTCGTGTTTATTGTCACTGTTTGAAAAGTTTAAATGTCCTTTTCTGAGCTTTTAACTCAACAAGGTACGAAGAGTTTGGCACTAGGTGTGCTGTGCGTCTTTAATCAGGCCGTGCAGCAGTAGAGCTTCTACCGCTCGCCTACTTTAGGTAGCTGCAGTGTGGCGGGAGGGGGCCTGAGAGAAGTAACAAAGCATTCTGGGATTTGTAGTATTTCTGATATGTGTGCTATTAGATTATCTGGTTTACCACATGGTGGGCCTTGCACTTGACAGGTCTAATCTGTTTTGCAAATCTGTAACAGGTGTCGCCTAAAATAAAATGTCCCTTCTGTGACACTATAGAAATATTAAGAAAGTTCTACTGACGTGATGCATTTAGGAACCCCGGTGCACTCACCTGCTGATTGGCCATGGTGTGGTACCACCAGAAAAGACGAGAAGTGATGAAATATGCCACAACCACATCCACTGTGTAGTGGTCATGGGCCAAAAGGATGCAGAAAATCCCAACAGCACTCAAGGTCCAACACAACCATTGGTACCACCAGTAGCGCTTGGGAGAATCTGACAATCAAAAACAACACCCCACATGGAAATGAACCCCTTCATATCAGATGTCAAACTGAATGTTCATCAGATGTTACTGTTTGCTCATGACTTCAGGCCAAAAGAGAAATTCAGCCATGCATGAGGGAAAAACACTGCAGGCGGCATCATGGTTCTCCCTCACAGCTTTTCTCATAATCTACCATTTTCCACCACTAGATGTAAGGTCTGTATCAATTAGAACTTGCTAACAAACTGAGTAGAACAATATTTCAGCGGCACAGGAAGGAAACTTTCAAACTTGAAAAAAAAAGTGGAGAAAAATTCAAATGCTGAAAATGTACCCCTGGGAAAATATCTAACAATCCCAAGAAGCAGCAAAAACAGAAATGCTCAGTGAGGAACTGAAAGTGTGGTGACACTGAGTGATGTTCCAACAAACTGAAACCATTTTCACTAAAAGTAAGTTTGTTCAACACTTCCTGTTCACGTGCTTCCTGATGAGAAATGCTGCCAAAGCAAATTCACACCAGGGGGGCTGAGGCTGAAAAAATCCACTAATATCAGATACCTAAACATCGACTCGTCCTTGATAATCAAACAGTCTTCACACCACCAGTGGATTTTAACATATAGGGTTGCTAAAACTGAACACTAACTTCCTGTATATTGTAAACTCACTCCTTTGTATGAACAAGGCGACTTACACTCTTTTATGAAGAGAAAGGTGAGCGTTAGCATGACAGTGTGACCGCTGTAAAGGTAGTCTCCACACATGGAGTGGGACCCTGTGATGGATAACCCTCCACCTGCGATCATTTTCATTATTCTCCTCATCTGTGCCTCCCAGTCCCCAAGAAGCTGAAACAAACACAAAGACGCAACAGAGACCAATTAAAGCACAGAAGACCAGATATTCAGAAACGGAACCACAAAAAAACAACTCCCTTTGTTATGTGTTCACTAAAACCTCTCATGCATTTAAGGGGATCTACCAACACTAAAAAAATTATGCAATATATGTAAACTCCAAGCTAATCCACCTTAAAAGCTTCAAAAACAAAGTTAAGAGGTTTTGATTAAACATTTTTACTTTGTATTAAAAATACAAGCATTGCTACAGAAAACCTGTCAAATGATGATGGGCTTCACTACTACTTATTTGGGTATAACTGGCTTTCTTCTTTCACCACTTTACAAAAGTCAGTTGTGCAACATCTACGTAGATTAGCAGAAGAAAACCTGTGGCAGATGTGGCAATAATGTGGTTTATAAACATAAACCAAGAGCTCAAAATTTGTTTAAAACCGTAACCTTATTCTTCACATTTTCCCCAAACCAATCACCGTATTAGTTGATTGAACTTTAATAGGGAGCCTAAGTCACGCCCACCTAAATCCACACCACGGGTCCCCAGAAGAACGAAAAAAAAATTAAATGCAAGTCAACGGGGCTAAAAACACTATTTTCTAATTCCGCTTGTTTTGCACTATGGATTTCACATATGATGTCCGTGAATTTTAAAGCCACATTTTGATACAAAGAATGCGCTTATTTTCTAACAGGGGGAAACGGTATTTGTGTGAAAATAAGTCCAGGACTACAAATGCGCTTCACAAAAGTGACATCATCAAACCAGACAGGGAGAAAACTGAGGGAAAGGCGCTGCAAGTTCAGCAAACTTCCCACAAGAGGAAAGAACCACCATAAATCTGGTCATCTGGTAAGTAGCAGCGACTTTGGGGAGAGGAGATTATGTGGTGACGTCACATATGTGACGTTTAGTGGGATTTTTTATCCTTGATTATTTATGCTTTGTTTTTATGTATTTTACCTGATTTTCATGCTTTCATTGTGTTTTGTTGATTTGTTCAAGCATTTGGCTCTTTTATTTACAGCACTTTAGTTAGCTGCCATGCTATTTTGAAATGGTGCTTTATAAATAAATTGGTATGGTATGGTATGGTATGGTATGGTGCCGATTTATAGTTTGTTGTCATGCTAATTACGAACTTCTACAAGCTAATAAAGCTCAAAGTGCGTGACTGGCGTGGTTGAAACACCCATCATTAGTTTTCATTTAAATTGCAGTACAACATATGTGTGATCCAGGGCGCAAGGCAAAGCAGATTAGAAAATAGCGTTTTTAGACCCACTGACTTGCATTCATTTTTTCGTTCTTCCGGGGACCCGTGGTGCGGAAGTGACTTAGGCTCTTTATTACTTAGCTGATATGGTCACTAACCAAGTGCATATTTAATGAGTGAGTACTATTAATTATGTTGCTTAACACTGCTATTATGTATATAGCATACCTTTGGGGAGCATTTAAAGTGCATCCCAGGAACAGGAAGTGTTGTGATGTACATTGTAATACATCGATACAGATAGAGCGTTCCCACAATGAAAAAGAACCTCCTGCCTATGATTGACCTGAGGAGGAAAAAAAAGGCAAAGATCCTGAAAATCGACCTTTTGACTGAATCCCTTTTGACTGATAAAAGACCACATCTAAAGGTCTGTACCTGTGCTTGAGCAGAGTCCACTGTATGAGCCAGAGTCCAACCAGCAACAGGCCATTAACTTCACAGATGGAGAAGGCCCACTCCACCCTGTCAAAAAGGTCGAAGAACTTATCAGGCAGTGGTGGAGTGTGCTCTTTTGGAGGAACTCTTTCATGGACAACTGAAATGACAACAGAGGTGGTGACAAAGCAGATAACGGCATAGATGAATGCTATGCCTGTCTTCCTCCACTCTGTAGGGAATGAGGAGCGTGTAGTTTCCACTGTAGGGATGGGAATTTGGACCATATCCTTCCCAAAGTCCTTCCTATCCAGCGTGCCATTCCTCTGGGGTTTTACAGTTCCATTGGGTATCCCTACAACATGCCCATTGGCGTGGCCATTTTTGTGAGCTTCGATATGCGTCTCTATCCGGAGTGTTTCCACTCGCTGCAACAGCTGCTGTCCACCGTCGGAAGACACCCACAGGGAATGGTCCCGAAAATCTGCCTCTGTGAGCCTGAGAAGAGCAGGGCCATCGGTCTGACGCAGCGCATCACTATACTCCGCCATCCCCTCTTTGATCAGCCAGTCAGAAACCTCCTCAGCTGACCATCTCTCCACATTCTTCATCTTGGCCAGGGAGCAATGTGGAGGGTTTGGAGAGGCCTCTAAGAAGAGGGCAAGATTCACGCAATGACTGTCCGTCTACTGGGCAGCAGGAAAATGTCTCCAGTTTTGACACATGGTGCGTCTTTCATTCAGAGGGAGTCCAAGCTCCTCTGGATATTTAAAAAGGGAAAGCAGCAAGGTCTCTCAGGATCAGAGCAACTTTAGAGTCGATCAACCGGCCCGGGGTTCTTAACTCTGAAAGGAAAAGAAATGTGTGGTGAGTTAGAATGAATGCAGTAAAGAGCATCATACCTTCTAGGGTTGTAAGGAAATATCTCATATTTCATGTTATGATACTGAATAGATATTTATAAGTTGTGTACCAATTTTTTTAACGGATTTGCATTAAAACATTTACTCTTTCTTTTGTGTGGTGCAATTCAAACACCTCTTCGAATTCAGTCTTAAAAATCGCAAATATGCTCTGGGCTTTAGTATCACAATATGTTGTGGCGTCTCCCTGATATCGTGGTATAAATCAATCATCAGATCCTTACCAAAACACACCTTTCTTATTCTAAATATTTTTAAAATACCAACTAAATAAATCATATGTCAAGTTGACCATCAGTTTAATGAGTTATATACCTAGAACAAAAATATCAAGAGGTATGTCCTGACTATCAATATTAACTGTGCCATACTTTAAATCACACCGACTCAGCAGTAGACCAAAAACATTAAGTTGAAACTATTTGCCTTCACTTGTTGCTTACTTTTACTTGCTTGTTAAACTTTGTAAGTTATTATGACACAAAAGCCCTCCAGACTTCTAACAGTCATTCGTAGTGTTTTTTTTTTTACTACCTTTTAGTCTATTGCACATAAATGATCATTTTATGAGAAAAGTGTCTTTGAAGAATTAATGAGCTCTTTGACAGCTGCTCTCATGGTCTGCCTGTATCTGTTTTTGTTCTACATGTCTGTGTGTTTAACCTTGGTCAGTCTTTGCTGCAGGGACACATTTCTATGCCTCAGGACACTGGGGCAATGACAATGACGCTGATTCTGACTCTACACCAAAAAGAGACCACTTAACTAAGGAATGAACTTGTGCTGGTTTTTCTAAGAAGTCATTTAAATGACATCGAGGCATTTAATTTCTGCCAGCCTGTCACAAAGACATAGTTTGTTCCTGTTTATCCAGAAGACTTGATGAAAACGACCAAAAATTCCAGTTTGAGATATACAAAATGCAACAAATTTACAAGGTTTTGGTTAAACACTTCTGCTGTGTTTCATTTTTATTTTTTATATAAATGAGTCATCTAGACAAACATGGGAGCGGCAGGAAACCCCACAGCAGATGACAAATATCTGAAAAGGGCGTTTGTAAGAAATGTGAAACAATTAGAGATCTGGCAAAGGACCTGAGAGATTAATCCCCTTTAGTTTTTATGTTAATCTTTTAACTTTTGGTTGGTTAAGAAAAAAAAACATTTTAATCAATTTAGTATTTTCGGCTTAGAATTATGACACAATCCATAATCATGTCCAAAATAAAGTCACTTTGGAGTAGCACAGTGTTATCTAGACTTCAGGCAAAAGCCAGGAGATGAACTCGCACATCTGTAACACATCACTCGTTTGTTTACAGACTGCGATGACAGTGTGAGACACAAGGCAGCCCAGCTTGTGTGTGTGTGGGGTGGGCGGAGGGAAGTTCAGCTGGAGACGAGCTCTGATCTATACGGACAAGAGGAAACCGGGTGGATAAGAGGGAAAATGGACTAAGAGGAGGAACTCATAAATCAGAGTGAAGGTCAGAGCTTAGTACCAACTCAGCCACACCCCTGTCAAGAGGGCAGTCAGCCAACAGTCATGCCTCTGTAAAGCCAGGTCAGACCAGGGCAAAAGCAGCTAAATACCCTGGCTGACAGCACGGTTGGCAGGGAAACAAACCACACATGGATACCTCATCTCACCTCATCTCTGTTCAGAGGCTTTTTTATTCAGATCACAGAAACGGGGCCAAATAGAAAGCCTATGTGTACAACTCCAGAAACACCGGACAGTGGGTTTTTCCCCACTAAGGTTCAGGGGGGGACAATTTTCTGATCACTTTCATGTAATTTAGAAACCCTAAAGCAATGCACAAAGAATGAAAGTAGACTTCTGATTGCATCACCTACAACCCAGGTGTGAACCTGAACACTGTTGGAGGGAGCAAAGGCGAATGATTTTTAGTGGTGATAAACAGAAGAGCAGTGACAAATAGCGCTTACATCATACTGTTAACAAATCAGATTAGCTGTCACTGACTCAGCTGTGCAATCGACCTTTACTCTATGAAACAGGTCTAAGCAGCTCATGAAATAATCTCACTTGACTGAAAGGCACCATGAAAAATATCCCAACTCTCATGGAGAGTATGCAAATGTATCCTATGGGTGTATTACCAAATCTTAGACAATATACATATCCATTTTATTTACATATTTATAGAAAATAACAAAATGAGACAAATTTTTTAACTAAAGCAGAGACCTAGATGCAAAGAAAACAAATAACACAAAGTACATAGGTATTCATTTATAATTCAATGGCAACAACATGATCTGGCAAGATGTGAAAAATATCCCGGTAAATCCTAATTTTTCCAGATTAACCCTTAAAGGGACTTTACGGAGTTTTGAATTTTTATGCTCGCAATTGCCCCCTCAGGCCAAAAGCGTAACGGCAGCTTCAATAGTAGGCTCGTGCACAAGGTGTGCATGCTGTACGTGCACACTCCTTAAAGAAAATAACAGCTGTCCTCCGTGCGTGTCCCGGAGGACAGAGGACAGGAGAACGCGTAGCTAATTAATTAAATAATTTAAATAATTTGGTTCTGTACCTTTCTCTTCAGCACAGCCAACAAAGGTTTATGATTTGTCAGTCTCCCTGCATGCTCAGATCATTCCTTTCCCTTGCTTGAAAAATTGTTCCAAAATGAAAGTTGAACCCACATCTTTTTTTATCTGTGAATTCAAGGCTGTTCGGAAAGTCTCAAATAAAAATTTGGACATTTTACTGTAAAAAAAATGTACCATTAATGTAAAAAAGAAACTCTAAATAAGCTATTTTCACATCCAGGATCGAACCCAGGACTTCTGCACGGGAGTCCAACGTCTTACTAGGTGAGCTAAAGTGCCAGTGACGTCCTTGTATCTGTAACATTTATATCCGTGATGACAGCTGAAACAACATTCAAAGAACGATTAGGAGCGAAAATGGCTCTTTTGTTGCTAATTTGCAGGAAATATCTAGAAGAAAGTTCTACAGAAAGTAGCTAAGGGTCCTCAGAAATGTAGCTAGCTTTGTCACTTGGCGTTAGGAACAGCGACAAAGTGGCACTACCTCGCTCTCTGCTGCTAAAGCTACAGATAGCAAAATGCTACGGGCGATGCCTGAGCGTGAACGCGCATGAAGCAGCCTGCTCGACCCGAGCAACTCTCTTTTTCTGTGATTTTACAGAAAAACGGGCAATCACAGTAAAAATGCCAGGGCTCATTCTACAGGACCAGGGCATTGCAGGAGAATGTATGAAGAAGATATTTATTATTTCTATACATGTTTTGGCTGTCAAACTTCCATAATGCCCCTTTAATGTTCAAAAGGCGAGCTCAGACATCATCTTCTCTTACAATCAGAACAGTCAATAATAAAAATGTTGGCATTCTTTTTTTTAAAGAAAAACAAAATACAAAAAAACCAAACAAAACCACTGAAATTACTTAAACTGACTAAATTAAGAATCTATTAAAAACAGCTAACGAAAACTAGACAAAATGTCTGAGCAAGGCCTAATTTTGGGTCATTAGATTGAGAAGCCTTTGGACACCACGCAGAACATTTTACTCCTGAATGGCTTGATTGTCTTTAGACTTAGTTGCACCCTGAATAGAACCAAAGACACGCTGTGCCAGATGCAGCAAAGAAGCCCCAGAACAGACTGGTGCCATTTCCATGTTTCAGCATTGGCACTAAAAGCTTCACTTTTACTTCTCCAAAGAAGAAACAATCTTTTCTATAGCGCCTCTCAAGACAAAAATCACAAGGCACTTCACAAAAACAAAATGTTTTGAATATAAAAAATAATTCAGAAAAAGATTAAAAATATGTTTAAAATAAGCAAAAAAAAAAAGACTATTGCGATTAAAAAATGTAAAGAAAGAAAGAGTGAATAGGAAAGAGGGAAATCGGTGGATCCTGAGGAAGGTGGAATAGGTAGAGAGAGCAGAACAAGAAGAGGGTGATGAAGGTCATACAAAAGCCAGCTTGAACAAGTGAGTTTTCAGCTGCTTTTTAAAGAAGTCCACTGAGTCCACTGATCTCAGGCTCAGGGGGAGAGAGTTCCAGAGTCTGGGGGCCACAGCAGCAGATGATCTGTCACCTTTCGTCTTTAGCCTGGTGCGCTGCACAACCAGTGGGCTTTGGTTACTGGATCTCAGGGACCTGCTGGGGTGTAGGGACTAAGAAGATCACCAATGTATGATGGTGCTTGCCCATGTAAGGCCCTAAAGACCAAACCCAGGATCTTGAAATGAACCCTGAAGTTGACTGGCAGCCAGTGAAGCTGAAGGAGAAGAGGGGTGATGTAGGTGTGTTTGGAGGACTTGGTCAGAAGCCGAGCACAGGCATTCTGAAACACCTGTAGACAGTTCAGGGAGGTTTTGCTCAGACACGTGAAAAGAGAGTTACAGTAGTCTAAGCGTGAGGAGATGAAGGTGTGGATAACTGTCTCAAGTTCAAAGAGAGACAGAATGGGACTCAGCTTAGCAATGTTCCTGAGATGGAAGAAAGAAGAGCGAACAAGAGAACTGACTTGAGAATCCAGGGTGAGAGCTGGGTCAAAGGTCACACCAAGATTCCTGATGGAGGTTTTTGTGTGAGAAGTAAGCTGACCAAGACAGTCTCTGACTTTGGGGACCAGCTTGTCTGGGGCACAGATGAGGATCTGAAGTCTCATCTTCATTCAGCTGTAGAAAGCTCCCAGCCATCCAGGTTTTAATAGTCTAAGCAGGAGCGCAAAAGCTGCAGCTTAGACATCTCATGGGGCTTAAAGGAGATGTACAGTTGGATGTCATCTGCATTAAGATGGTAGGAGATTCCTTTGAAGGAGCTCAGGATGTGCTGAAGAGGAAGCAGATAGAGAAGGAAAGGCAGAGGCCTCAGCACAGAACCTTGTGGGACACCATTGGTAAGAGAGGTGG